AGTACTATCAAATTGGTTGCCTGGATACCTCATCTCTTCATCATCCATCCAGTCTACATTCCCATCAAATTCATCATCACTACTAGAATATCTTACTTCATCATCATCAAATTGGTAATCACTAAGTCCATCATCTTCATTAGACTCTTCATTATCCTCATCACTCAAACTGACAGTGCCATTTGATTCAAGTTCACCATCAACACTTGCATTTCAATCCCTATCCTCATCACTAAACCCATACACATTGTCCTCATGGTACTCTTCATCTACCTCTACAGTATGCACTCCATGAACTCTACTATTTCCATCTCCACCATTGTTATCCCTTACATCATTTCTACCTCCACCATCTTCCTTTCCAATACAATATGCAATATCTATATATAAGTTAATTGTTTTACTCCTACTTTGCACAAAAAACATATCCAACACATCAAGATCATTTTCTATTAATCTCATATTCTCAATACCAGGCATATCACAATGCAATGTGATAGCTATTGCTTCACTACAATTAATGTGAGAGAGGATTGTTTCAGTCACATCATTCAAGGCATCAATGTAGCAATACATATTTGGGTCCACATCATATATTTTGTCCACTTTGCCTTTGTAGTTGATGATTAAATCAAAATAAGGGAATGCAGCCATACTGTAATCATAATGAGTAACAATTAATTATAAAAAAATACTACTCTATTTAACAATTATTCATCCAAATGTAACAAAATTAAACTAATATCAGGTTACATCTTAAAAAATTCATAAGTAGCAGAAATAAAAAAAAGAAAGCCCCAACTTCATAACAGAAAGAAATAAAAGCCCCAAATTTTGCAAATAAACCAAAATCCCTAATTTTCAGTATTTCTTATAAGATCAAGAAAAGAAAACTATTTCTAACAATAAATTAACAATCAGAAGATATAGAATGAGAAAAAAAAACTAAATTATAGTATTTCTAACAAAAAATTAACAAGATTAACAAAAATTAACAAAAACTTTAAACCCATACAATCAGAAAATTACAACAACCCAAAATCTAACAAAAGTCCTATATTACACTATTATTATACTAATATTTAACAAATTCCTATTTCTGAATGAAAAAATTTGGACAAAACATAAAAACCCTACATGTATATTTTCGAATCAAACCCTTTAGACATACATTTCAATAACCAAACCTATACAACCAGAAATTTCGTAAAAATGAAGAAAAACCAAACATAATCATAAACCCTAAACTCAAAATTATCATAATCGAAGTATAAAAAGTTCGAAGTCTTACCTGGAAGCCCTAAAACAACTTGTCACTGATCAATCTCTTTTACATTTTGTTCTAGCAACGGTGATCGAACCAAATCCAAGAAATTCTTCGTCGCTTCTTCACTTCGATTACTTTTCTTCCAAGATTTCGTCTCTCTCTCTCTTCTTTCTCTCAGAAATTCGACTGTATTTCGGAATAAAGAGTGATTTAGGGATTTAGGCTAGAAAGGATATTGTTGTCTTTTCATCCTCAAAAGTAAGGGTAATAAGGTCATTTAGTATATGCAACTAACGTCGTTTGTGCCAATTTAATGAGATGGGGGAATCTGGAGAATATCAGGTAAAATAAGGAAGGTTCATGTAATTATTCAAATCACAGGGGAGGTCCTTATATTTGTCAGAAACCTTAGGGGAGGTGAGTGTAATTTGCCCTAAATAATACTAATTGCTCTAGAGAGAGAACCTCTCATCTCTCTCTCTCTTTCCTTTTCTCTTTCTACGCCCGCCATAACTTCGTCGTCACTCTGTCTCCGCACCTCTTCCTCTCTCTCCCGCTCTACCTTCACCACCAACTACCACCAAAGCCCTAGTCGCCAAATCCACCTCCACCTCCTTCTCCGCCATTGACGACGACGACCAAGCCCTAGCCAGTCTTGGAAGTGACTTCGTTGCCGGAAGGTCTCCTCTGTCAAATCGAACTTTCCAGCAATGCTGGTGGCCAAAGTAGTGAAAGGATCCTTTGTTGGCTTCAAAGTCCTAGAAAGCTACAGCGGCAGACGATGATGAGGTTTTTGGAAGATCTTTGGTCTGTGAGCAATGAGGAGAGAAGTGCGATTGATGATGTGTATTCGCCGGATCTGAAGTCTAGTTGGGTGGGGAGGGAGGGTTTGGATTAGGCAGCGACACACGATGACACTCTTCTCACCTTTCCAAAATGCTCTCCACTATCTTCGCGACTCCAACTCTGCTGTTTGATCTGGACCTCCGCGCGATGCCGACGATGTATACATATATATGCATATATATAGGGCAAACTTCACTTTACCCCCCTGTGGTTTGGACCGGGTGTGGTTTACCCCCCTGACATTTGGAAATCACCACATAGCCTCTATGTGGTTAATGGACTAAAACGCATAGTTAGCTTTTCTGCCTGAGATAACATAATGTGAAAGTCACGCACCTCTATAGAGAGTAAGTCCTTTTTTATGACAAAAATACCCTTTCTACCTCTTCGAATTTACAAAAGATGCCATTCTATTTTCAACCTTCTTTTTCTTCACATTCTCTCTCTCTCTCTCTCTCTCTCTCTCTCTCTCTCTCTCTCTCCTCCTCTCAAACCACCACCTATATCCATCCTCTCTCACAAGATGAACAAACACGTCTTTGACCATGTGTACATACATATATATATATATATATATATATATATTTTCTTGATCATGTGCATATACATATACATACATACATACATACATATATATATATATATATTTGTATGCATATACAAATCTAAACCCATTTTAATTTATTTATTTTTGATTGAAGAGAACTGAAATTCTTCCCATACATATACAAATCCAAACCTATTTTATTTATTTATTTATTTTGATTAAAGAGAACTGAAATTCCTCACATACACACATATATATATATATATACAAATCCAAATCCATTTTTATTTATTTTTTATTTTTTTATTGAAGAGAACTGAAATTCCTCCCGTATGACTTGTAAAATGCTAACGAAGTAGAGAACTTCATCTATAAACCTAGCCACTTCAGAGCCATCTATTCTTTGATTTATTCAAATCATAATTTTTTCAAATCTATTTTTGGATAAAAAATTAGGCTTTTGATTTGGGGTTTTTTTTCATGATTTCTTTCAAATTAAAATTATTTTGATTAGCCTTTTGATTTCTTTCATGTTTTCTGTGTTGATTCAGAGAAGATTATTATTGACAAAAAATAAATAAATAAATAAACAATAGAAGATTAGAGTCACAAGTTGCTGATTATGCAAAAGTCGTTGCGTAGCTTGAAGCTGCTAGAACGAAAGTAAAGGTGTTGAAGAAGAAACTCAAGTCTGAATCGAAACAGAACAAGGAACAAAGTTTGAAATGGAGAGAGAGAGAGAGAAAGAGAGAGAGAGAGAGAGAGAGAGATGAAGATGAGATTGTATATGTATATGTATGTACACATATAGAGTTTGAAATGGAGAGAGAGAGAGAGAGAGAGAGAGATGAAGATGAGATTGTATATGTATATGTATGTACACATATAAAGTTTGAAATGGAGAGAGAGAAAAGAAGAAGATGAAGATTGAGAGAGAGGGAGAGAATTGGGGTTCCCCTGAAATGGAGAGAGAGGGAGAGAAGAATAAAATGAAGACGGGGGTATAATTGTCAATTTTCAACTTCGATCAAGAAAAAGATAAAGATGAGATTGTAGATGTATATATATATGTACACATATAAAGTTTGAAATGGAGAGAGAGAGAGAGAGAGAGAGAGAGAGAGAGAGAGAGAGAGAATAAGAAGATGAAGATGGAGAGAGAGAGAAAGAGAGAGAGAATTGGATTTTCCCTAAGATGGAGAGAAAGAAAAACAAGATGAAGATGAGAGTATAATTGTCGACGTACAACTTCTGTTAACAGAAGTTAATGTGCGTTTTAGTCTATCAACCACATGAGGGTTATGTGGTGATTTCCGAATGTCAGGGAATAAACCGAATCCAACCCAAACCACGGGGAGGTAAAATGAAGTTTGCGCATATATATACACACATACGTAGACCGATCTGAATATATACATACATAGACATATATACATGGATATACACGCATGCTGATATGAAATGATCAGATTCACTCTTCCAAAAACCTTTTCATCATCTATTGCCATAGGTCTGTGAAGTAGGGTTTAGATGTGAGATCTGAATAACTTTGCAACGGATTTGTGGTTCTCTGTATTGTATTGAAGGTGCAGAGTCAACTGGTTCTGTTGCAATTGAAAACTTGGAATCTATTCTAGAAGAGACGACTCGATCACTTCCAACAATGCAATTTAAATTACTGCTACTTTTACTAGTTATTATTTTGCTTAATTGCATCACATTCATGGAAGAAAAGTGATTATTTGCACAAATTAAGAGCTAAAACATAATTCAAAAAAAATTCTTTAAACTTAAATAGCTCAATTGAACAGATCTCAAACAAATCTCAAATGATGATGATATGTGACGACGACGACGACGATGATATTGATGATAATAAACTAATCTGTGTATTTTTTTTAAAAAAAAATGTGTGATCTAAGTTGAGCTTGAAGATTTTTTGATTTGAAAGTGTAGTTGATCAGATGATGAAGCAATATTGAATTGAATAACATTTGTATCTAGAGAGAGAGAGAGGGGGAGAGAACAAATCATGGAAGGGGAAAAATTCAACAGATCATAGAATTTCAATAGATACAAAGACTTGAACCGATAAAAAATCTACAAATAGAATTCAAGAAAAAAAAATTGAACTAAATAATAAAATTTGTACAGATAGATTTAAGCACATAAGTGAAAAAAATAAATAGATAATAAAATTTCATAGATATTTGAATAGATAAGAGAAAAAAATTGAACAGATAGCCAAAACATTTGAACAGATAGAAAATATAAATTTGAACAGATAGACAAAATAAAGTCAACAGATAAATTAAAATATAAAATTGAAAACAAAATGTC